CTCTGGGTCCTCCTCCTCCACTTCCGGGAACTGGACCACCGGCCCTGTCGACGGACTCCGCGGCAAGTGATCACAGATATATAGATGAAAGTGTAATTCCAGGTACAGAGCAATATGAAAAGGAGCTTCCCACTGATACCACTGCACGAGAGGAGGGATCAACTCATAACAGAAAGGAGCTTTATCAAACATTGAAAAAGAGTGAGTACGATAAAAACAGAGATAATGACGTTCAAACACCTGTCGAGGCTTGGCCAAAGAGCGACAACAGCCGATCATTACGAACGCGTTTGAGCAGACGTGCCCTGTCATTGCAGTACGCTTTAGACGACGATGAAGCTGTGAAAAGAGAGGCTCAGCACACTACTAATTCGGCGTCATTTCACTCGCCTTCCTCCCTCTCCTCCAGCGCCACAACAACCAGCAAGGATTTATCAAAAGAAAACACAAGGAAACCAGATTTGAGAAGATATCGCTCTCTGGGAACTGTAGAGGACAAGCTTGAGACAAAGACTAAAGAAAGGGAAGCGTGTGACGTATCTCGGTCTCTTTCCAGGTCGCATTCCGACAAGCAAGATGCAGGCGATGAACGTAGCAGAACACCAGCACAGTCAAAGAGGCAAGGATATGAAAATCTGAGAATAAAATCTGATTGGAAATACAGTGCACTTGAAGAAGGAAAGAGCGACAAAACATATGCTAAAAGTCAAGAGGATAAGGAAAACATCCATTGGTCAAAAAGGAGGTTGAGGCTGTCGGGCCATTCAACAAGTGCAGATGAAAGTCATAAGAAGGATGCCACTGCCTCTACCACATCAAAGGCTAAGGTAGATAACATTTGGTCGAAATATCCCCTGGCAAAACCAAAAGAAACCTCTGACTCGTTTTCTCAAGAACATAAAATGACGGGATTTTCTCTTAATGAGAGTGAGCAAAGAACCGACAATATCTCTTCTTCCATCTCGTCCAGAAATAAGGAAGATGAAAAGGCAAAAGTTAACAGCGTTCGAGACTGGAAAATACCAAGGAAGCTGGAATATGAGGATCAAAAAGGCAAGATGACTGAAACCACTGATACCTCATCCCTTAAAACAACCTTGGCGTCACGGTCATCTGGTCGTAACGAGGATCTCCCAATGGGATTATTACGTATCGGAATAGTTCCTAGTGTCCAGACTGTTAGTGAAGAAAGTGAACAGACAGATGACACTAAGGATGTAGATACTGTTGATGCCCCTCAAATATCAAAGGCAGGGTTGTCCCACCTCACTTACAGAGGAAGTGACACATTGGTACCGAAGAATAAAGAGGTTTTTGCATCTGTTACTTCTAAGCGACAGCAAGAAAGATTTCCTGGCAATGATGAAGCAACCTCAAATGCTCACTATTCCACAGGTGAAACAAACACAAGGAATAAATATGACGGCAAGCAGATGCACTTTGCAGCCCGTAGCCTCAACACATCCTCCGACGATGCAAATATTCATGGAAACTTCCGTCACAGAAACAGATATCAAGAAAGCAAGAGCCGTACAAATCTTCATAGTCAGAAAAATGTGGAAAGTGACGACGGTCCAGAAGATACAGACGAGAAACACCGGCGTTCCCCAAAAGTGCATCATAAGGAAACAAATAAGACTTCGAAGCACAAGCGAGACCATTCGAACCAGGATCGAGCAGTTGCGAAAGGTCTCCAGTCCAGCGAAGAGCTTAATCTACAGACGATACCGCCTCCTGCAGAAGTGTTGCAAAAGCTTCCCGATACTGGGCTTTGTGAGACGCATGGGTCAATAGTGCACTTGTACTGTCAGCGCTGTGAAATGTGGATATGCGAGGAGTGCTTGGACATGCTCCACTCCCCTCCGCCCGCGGGACTGTGTCATGTCATGTCGACGTCCGAAGCCCTTCTCGGCCTGAAGGAGAGGCATTCAGAATTCATCACTTCGAGGATCAATACCCTAAATTATTTTCGGAGGGATCTGAAGAAGCTTTTGTTCGAATGCGAAAACAGCGTCGAGGAACACGAAGCCACGATCCTCGAACTGCAAGCGAAGATGGAAGAAGAGAAGAGGTTGATTGAAGGGATAGAGACGATGAAAGCTCTTGTGCTGGAGAAAGCTAAACAGATCGACAGCTGGGAAGACCTGCTGCAGAAGAACGCAAACCGCATCGAGAAATCGGGGACGTCACACGATATGATAAACGCCGTTGAGAGGAACAAGGCGGACATCTTGAGAAGGTTCCGTGAAAATGAAGAACTGGAAATTGCCATGTCGTCTGATTTCGCAGGAGAGTGAAGGGAGGCTTGGTATTAGTGTCGGTGTTTGTTACGATGGGATAGTATAGTATTTGCCAATAGAATAATGCATTAAACTCATAGATTATCAAACCAAGAAAGTTATCTGCTCATACACATACACACATGTATATATATGTAATATATATATATATATATATATATATATATATATATATATATATATATATATATATATATATA